TATTCCTACTAAATTTAACTAGTAAACAGCATTTTCTGCGAACCTGATTTCTAGCAACAAGTAAAAGCATCAAACGAAGTGTCTTGTTATAAGTCGCTACTCGCCAGGTTGGAATTGTATTAGTCTAGTTCCTTTGGAAATAATTTATATTGTTGTTTTACCGAAGTTTATGAATTTAGTAAGCATATTTAAAACTCAGTTTATTAATTAAACTAAAAGGTAAATGTTATTCCTAGTAAGTGGAAGTAGTTGTGCTTTTTTCATATTATACCCAATTAATTAGTGCAGATTATATTTTAAGTTACAAAATCAGACACAAAAACGTACTTTCTTAGTTTCATTGCAATCTGGGAAATCTGGTCCCAACAGTTTGGTCAAGAGAGCTGTCAAAAGTTTGAACCTCTTAATGTTCATTTTAATTTTTGCGTATTTCGCCACGCAATTTCTCTAGAAATTTTTAAGCTAACTTAAAAATTTATGCACACAATTGAAATTCGTTTAATTCAAAGATAATGCCATGGTAAAAGTATATTTTAGTAAATACTTATTATTTTTTATTATATTATTTAATAAAAGTCAAAAAAAATTTTTAGATACACAATTTTCGACATCGTTTTAGAGAATATAATTTTAAATAGCGAAATACAAAATTTCAGCGATACCGGTCAAAGAGTATCTGATAAATCGAATTTTAAAAAAGTCGTATTTTCAAAGTTCGATAAATTTAGAAATCGATAGATTTAGCTTCTGTTATCATACTGTGCGCATCTTTTTTTTTTACCTTAGGTGCTTTTAACATTACTTACTAATATTAATGATATTTTATCATTCAGCAACATAGCAAACATGCAAGGAACTCAGATTATTTTATAACATCAAAAAATTTCTGTTGCCAAAGTTTGTCATATTAAGGTTCAACTGTATTTTAAATACTTTCTTGGACCCTATTATTGTCCTTATCTTTGTAGTAAGTAATATTGCATTGTTATTTAATATTGCATCATACTGTTATTTTTTTCTGAGCGTTTGTTCTTAAACCTTGTGTGCCCTCCCATTGGGCAGCAGGATAGTTATTTACGCATCTGAGATATTATATGAAATGATATTATGTATTGGAATTACTATAAAAGCAACAAATAAACCACCGACTTTTCACTTGTTCATTAACATTATCTCTCTCGACTCTTCATTCTTATAAGTTACACTCACTTTTTCGAGCAGAACCCATTGTAAAGTTGTTTTTTTTAAAAGATTTAAAAAAATTATTTTATTATCTCTGTTTAATCTCTGGCTGACTTATGAAGTGATGGTTCTAGTTCTTCAAAAGTCGTCTGCGCATTTGTCTGCTATGAGATCATTCTCATAAGGAACCGATACAGTTTAAAACGAAGCCTGTAAACGTTTAAGGAACTTAATTCTTTCTTCCTAAACTAAACAATATAATTTTCAGACAGTCGTAACACTTTCTTTTAGAGTAAATTGGCGATAAAACTGAAATAAAATGCCGTTTGTTTCGGTTTATGTATTTCGAAACCGAAACTAAGTCCATATCTCAACAAATTAATAAAAGGAATTTCTGAGTAGATATTTCTAAAAAGATACTATGCCGTATATCTAAAATAATATTGCGCTTTTTAATTAACATTCTACAGCGTATTTAGATTAAAATAACACTATTTTAAAATAATATCCGAAAGAGATAAATTCTTTACCAGAAGGTGGCAGCTCTCCGAATATAAACAAGCTGTTAATTCTTTCAAACGCACTCCCTTCAGTTTTCGACTCAGTAAAGTATTCCGGCTGAGAAATGCGGGATCGTGGGATTTTGTAGTGAATAACTCCAGTATTATTAATGGAGTTAAATAACAGTAGAACTCTCTTCGCTATTTGGATTTCATACTTATATACCTGGACTGGTGCTGTGCTTTCTCACAAAACGTGATGAGCCTAACCATAACATTCTAGCCAAAGGATAGGCTTTTTAAATTGTACTTTTACGATTGTGTTTATATAGAACTAAGCCTATCCACACACAAAATGGCGGACTTAGAGGCAGTATTAGCAGATGTGAGCTATCTTATGGCTATGGAAAAAAGTAAATCTACTCCAGCAGCCAGAGCCAGCAAGAAAATAATATTGCCTGATCCGAGGTATGTGTTAAAACGATTTGTCGTACGGTTAGTCTCTTTAACGTGACGTCAATCAACCATAGCACACGTTTTTTCTCAATCCGGCGCGATGTAAACAATATAAGTATTTAATAAACTGTTTACTAAATCTATAATAAACATTATTTATTATTATTATAACACGAAATGGGGTCAATAAGTGTTATGTCGAAGTTGAACATATGACCTCTCGTGCGTCTGGGGGGGAGGGGTGCTCTCACTTGCGCCACTAATCACCTTTATGTTTTTGACAAGTATTTTATTTGTTTTTTTTTAAATCAATGCAAGGAGTCATAATATTTTTGAAATTAACATAATTAAGATCATTTTATAAGATTTTGGAGTTAAAAATATTCAATGCTTAGATTTGTTTACATCATGCAATGGACACTGATTTCTAACACAGTTATTATCAAATAATCGGTAGTTATTGTCTATAAATTATTATGTTAATTTGTTAAAACAAAGTTTCAGGGATGTTATAGCATTGGAACTAATAATAGACGATCAATTCCAAAAAACAGTTTTTATCTTATTGTAAAGTAAACATCACCCTCACACCACTTAACCTGATATACTTCTGTCACATTTTAATCAGTGTTAAATATTGTGTGTGGTCAATTTCAAAGTGTTAAATACTGTGTGTAATAAAATTACATATTTTGAATACTAATAAATGGGGTGTAAAAGTAATTAAATTTGTTTACATCTTTAAATTGTATTGACATGATAAAGTGCATGAACTTAATATAATTTTTTTGCTGTTTTTAAATAAAATAAAAAATTGAGTAATTTAAAATTAATTCAGGTCTATAGTTCAAAAGACATGGTATGGTTACTATAGATATTTAGATAGACTTCATAATTATTTATTTTTTTGTATGCGTCAGAAAGATTTATAGTTTTTTTTAAACATATACGAATTCTTTCATAGATTAATAAAATTAATTTGCATTTTCTCAGCAAATGTTTTGTTACTAAATTGAATGCTTTTTCTAGTAGAGTTTAATTTCTTTCATGAAAATGCTAAAAATAAATTTTACTAGTATCATAAATGATTAAGTGTGTTATTTTAAATTTTTTTTTGGTTTTGTAATGCTATAAATATTAAGAAATATTAGTGATTAAGAGTATTAAAAAATAGAACCCTTCTTTCTAAAATTTGAAACTCTCAATTAAGGTGAGAGAATTGAATTTCTTTATTTTTCTTAGAACCTTAGAAAAACATTCTTTTCACTACTTATTCCAGCTGTATAATTTTATTTTTACTTTTGAGTTAAAATTTTAACTATTTTTTTTATTAAATACTGAACATTTTGTTCATTAAATTAGTATTACTTTTAGAATACATAATTTTTTTTTTTTACAATAGTATTTTTGCAGTGTAAATAGTATTTTTACAAGGATACCAATGTAACTGCACAAATTAATTTGTGCAAAATTAAGGTTTCAAATTAAAAAAGGATAAATATTAGATAAGCAACAAGATATATAGAATATTAAAAAAAACATTTTGATAAAAATGTTTCAGTATTTTGTTGATCTTTTACACCTTGTATATATAAATATATATATTTTTTATGTTTTTTTTGTTGAATTAAGTATGAAAATTTATAGAGTTAGTCTGTAATAATAAGTTTCATTAAATGAAGGCTTGCATTCACATAGGACTATTCATTTGGTTTCATTAATAATATGCAATTGAATAAAGACTAGGTGTGCAAAAAGTTTGAAGTTCTTCAATTAATGAATGTTAACATTTAGTTGAATTAGTTTTAGTTTAGTAATGAATTTAGTTTAGTAATGAATGTTAACATTAATAAATGAATGTTTACATTCACATAGGACCATTTATTTGGTTTCATTAATATGCAATCGAATAAAGACTAGGCATGCAAAAATTGTGAGGTTTTTCAAATTATTATATTTGCTTTAATTATTGGGCTTCTTTTCCCAAGATAATGTTATTTTTGAGAAATTAGTCTCACTGTATCATAAATCATATGTTTTAAAATTAATTTTGAAAAAGTAGGTAAATTAATTGTGTATTGATTTCCCATCTATTGAATGGAGGTATATTACGTTCAATAAATACTTTGAAGTATTATTTTAACTTACTGAATAAGAGTTAATTTACCAATATCATTATTGTGTTTTAAATTCACAAATATTATGCTTCAATTATCAATGTGTATTGACCTGATATACGGCTAAATTTTCACCATATATCTGATGGTTCTCTCAAATTGACATCTGATGCATCAATAATTATTTACAAATATACTTTCTTATTTAAGACAAATTAAGTGTTTTGGTATGTTGGAAAACAATCAATAAAAATTAAAAGCAAAAGAAATCTTTCAAAACTAAATAAATTTTATTTTGATATTATGCTAGTTCATGCTAAATAGCAAAAATTCAGGAGATGTTTCTGTATCCTGATCTGTTGCTCCAAGGGCAAAAGGAATTTTGAACTTGCAAAGTTTTAAAATAAAGCATGTAGACTTTTGACCTGGGGTGGGTATGAGTTATGTATTATAATCTCCAAGTTGTTTCCCTTCTGTGATGTTCTTTTTAGTTTCTCCTAGGCCGCTGCCCGGAAGTTGCCATGACTCGGCAATTATTCTGCCACAGATAACAAAACAGAAATCGTCTTAAAAATTTTGTACAACAAATCCAAATTGTTACGGTATAATTCTAACAAGCAAGGGAGTTTAGTGCTACTCTCCACTATTGATAGGGATTACAAATTTGTTTGAATGCGAATTTCCGCTGATTGTTTTTATTTTCAACACTGTGGTCGGTGCAAGTCGGATACGCATTCCGCACCCAGCTTGCTCCGACCACAGTTCCTGACCTAAAATATCCTCAGTGGTTAACGGATCATGGGTTAGAGTCCCCTTGCTGTCAGGCTAACCGTGGGAGGTTTTCGTGGTTTTCCTCTCCATGTAACACAAATGCGGGTTAGTTCCATCGAAAAGTCCTCCACTTAGGCCAATTTTCCCCAATGCCTGATCTAGGAGTTCCCTTGTCTTCTGGATTGGGTTCAAAATTACAAGGCTACGGAGTTGAACATGAGTAGTCGTAAACCCATAAAAATTGGGTCGGCTATTCAAACACGGGTATAAAATAAAACTAAATGCTGCGATTTGCACTAAAGGAACAAAACCTTTAGTTAGCTTTTCCTTAACTATAAAATGTACGAAAATGAAAGGGTGATGTAAGTTATTGCACTTGGCAATGAAAGATGAAAATTTTTTTTGTTAAAAAACATTTTGAAATTCTGGAAAATGAATTTATTGGTCCACAACATGGAGCACATTAGCGCATTAGCCCATATAACAAGAAAATGTTCATAAACAATGTTTATGAACATTTTGAAGACAAATACTATTATCCAATACAGTAATTGCATTTTATTCTTTAGTATTTAATAGAAAAAATTCATTTTCAAAGATTAAAAATTTATAAAATACATGTGTTATTAAATGTTAAAAAAAATTATAATTATTTACTGAATTTTATTAATAAAATTTTTTTAGTGCATGTATTAATTGATTTTGCATAATAAAACATGACATAATTGTTTAAAATACATTAAAGCAAGCTAAAGTAAGGAAAAGTTGTACTAAGCAATAATTGTGCAATGCGAAGTCAGATACTTCCTGAATGGATTTCTTAAAAAATAAGAATTTTATTTTCCTGCATTTCTATTCATCTACATTTGTTGTACCTAAAAAATATTTTTATAACTATTGTACACAAATTGAATTCACAATAAGACATTGTAAAACATACAGACACAATCTTTCAATTATATGTCTATAAAAATGTTGCTCTTAGTCATAATTCATTAGAAAGAATGAAAAATGTTTTGAAATTTTTTTTCCTTAAATTTATATGCACTGCAAAGTTGTTACTTTTTATGAGTGTAGTTACAAATTATTCTGTTAGAAGTATTTAAAAAAAAAAAAAAAAAACANAAAAAAAAAAAAAAAAAAAAAAAAAAAAAAAAAAAAAAAAAACAGAACTAAATTCTAAAGTTTGTTCCTGTTTAACTAAAGGTAAAAAACATTATTTCTGAAAATTTTTATTTAATGTGAATAAAACTAGTTTAGTCTAATTTTTGTGAATAAAATTAATAAAATGCATAAACAAGATAAATTCAAAGTATTAAAAGTAATTTTTATCAAATATTTATTAGATTTTAATTGTCTTAGTCTTCATTTCATTATTGTGTAACTAAAATTTTCTTTAAAAAAAAACTTTTCTACTTCTAAAAAATTATAAGTTTAAATAATTATTAAAAGTATGTCTATACCTGTAAGAGAGGTTATTAACTGTGTAACTCTCAAATAACTAGAATTATACTTATAAGAAAGTTTTTCTGAATTACTTTGAAGATCCAACTTATCCCGGTTTTTAGTGGACCAATGTACCTCATATTCTTGATTTCACAAAAGATCTCAATTACTTCTCTCATTATCAATAAACTTCAGCTGGGTATAATCATTAAATTACAAATTAATCTTTTAAATTGTTGCATTTTGTTGCTCTATTTTCAGAGATATGAATTTTAGAAAGTAAAGTGATAGAGTTCAAAAAATTACTTTGCAGTGCTAAAATACAACTTGCTGTAAAAATGGTACACTTTAATTGTACCTTGGGGTTCTTTAATAGGATTTGTAGTACCAGTGGTGCAACATGTTAAATGGAAAAAATCAAACAAAAATATTTTTAAACTAATCAAGCATGTTCTTAGCAGAGAATAGAGATGAGCCTGGGCTCACTTTTGGAAATCTGAGGAAGTACGCCCAAGCCCGAGATATATGTCGAATAATTTCTTCTGTCCTTAGTATGAGGATAACTAACGTTAAAAAATATTCTTGTTTTTGAAAGTTAAAATAATGAAGCCTTTTCAAAAAGTATTAAAGAAAACAGACATTTTATTTTCAGTTGAGTTCTTATTATATATTATAATG